TTCTTTAAAGGAATCGATAACTTGATGCTTAGAGTAGCCATGTGCATAAACCTCTCAATTGATTCAAGGAAACATCGATCTTGGTGTTCTTAAATATCAAAATTTCCTTTTTGGCGGAATCAGCCAAATCCAGTTTCAAAATTTTGAATGTTAATTTAACACATCCCTATTACATTCACGAGTTTGATCAGCCAAGGTATTCAAGTGTTCCAATCAAATTAAATGAGATAAATTACCAACTCTAGAGTAAATCATTTATGCATGAACCAAGAAGGAGCTCTTCCAGTTTTGAAATACATCAAAGGAGGTCTTTTTTTGGGTTTTACATCTTTTTTGGAAATTCAGTAACTTTTTAGAATTCTAGAAAGCAAACCAATGTGTCCAGATCATCTGGATTTTCCATCTTATTGGTAAATTCAATTATTTCCTTGAAGTCTAAAAAAACAAACCAATGTTTCATATTTTGCATCTTCATGAAAAATTCATTTATTTATTGAAAGTCTAAAAAGAAAACCAATGTGTCTAGATGATTAGAAAATACTGGTATAGAGTTAACTTGGCAGATATTTTCATTATTGGGAATACGACAATTTTATTTTTTTGAGAGATAAGTTGAGTGTTATTAACTTACACTCTCCAGCTTGAGGGGGAATAAAGACAAGTTGAGTGTTATTGACCTACACTTTTCAACTTGAGGGGAGTATTGGAACCTTCCTCGCTCCTTCGCTTCCCTTCCTCTTTCTGTTTTCCTTACTTCATAGGCCATACTCAAAGTCGAAGTCACGACCGACATGGGGGGCTCGAAAAAAGAACGAGAATCGGTATCGTGGTGGTACTACGAGATGGTGATTTATCGTATAGAAGAATAGATCCGATGGATGATCAACAACTATGAAGACATCGCCGATTGAGTTAGGGTGAGGAGGGGGGACTAGGAAGTTATCGTATAAAGAGAAGGTGGTAGGTCACCTGAGAAAAGTACTATGGTGGACTTGTGTGAGGAGGAGTACTCATCCGAGGAAGAACTTGATTCCAACGAAGAAGAAGAGTTTGTTTGCTAGAGGTACGATAAGACGGAAGAAGATCTACTATTTTATATAGTCGTAATCAATTAGGACTTTCAATCCTATTTATGTTTCTCATTTGTAACAATTATCAATTTCATAACAACCTCATATAAGATGACATGACCACAAAATAGCATAACTTTATTACATGAAATAACTTATTCTGACATAACGTGGCATAACATAGATAGACATAACATAGCATAGCTTAACACAGCATAGCATAACATCGAACAACATAGCATAGCATAACATCGAACAACATAGCATAGCTTAACATATCATGCATACATATGAAACGTGTAGAGGTCACATGGACACGAGTCATCATACATAATACAATTCATTCAAATCCTCCCAATCTTCATTTATTTATTAAGATCTTAATATCTTGATAGCCACATCTCGACCAAGAAATAATCAATGGTACAAATGACCACAATATCCAGATGCAATTCTTTCACCTATCTTCACTAACCATCTATTTATTTTCCTGTCTTTTGAATTTGCTTTGGTGCAACATTTTCTTGACAGCTAGATGAGAATGTGAAGAACCACGCCATCCTCATATCTAGCCACTGCTTTTTCGATAGCTTCATACTAGCCACAAATTTCCTCAATAGGCAAATAGGCCTTCTATCTAATGACAAATACATCCAAAGAGTATTTAGATGTCAAAAACATATGTGCTTCTCAAATGTTAAGACATATATCAAAAAGCAAAAGCAGAAAGCTAGGAGAAAAAAAAACAAAACAACAACTTGATAAGAAACTTTAGCTTATCAATGTTAGATGAACACGACGCTCCACAATGGTACGATATTGTCCACTTTGAGCATAAGTTCTCATGGCTTTACTTTGAGCTTTCTCAAAAGACCTCAAACCAATGGAGATTGCAGATAGAAGAGCGGGAAGTAGCATATCTTTCAAGAAACAAAACGATGTTACTTACAAGCAAGGTATCCGCCCCTGAATAAAATCAAAGAAGTTATCTTGAATAAAAGAAGGGAAGCAGTATTGATTGTATTGACGGATTGAGGACATCGGTCATGCTTTACCAATTTCCAATACTTACCATTGATCCTCCTGATGTAATTTTAGCATAAAAAGCTTCTATTTCTTTAGCCTTTTTTATTATAAAGGCAGGATCATTCTCTAGATTAACTCACAATCAATAGTTAAAAATATCATCCCATGTATGGGAACATGTGCAATATTGCCCTGCCTTTTGGAGCAAATGTCCATATCATATCTCCCATCCATGACCTTTGATTTCTTTCCAACATCAAAATTTAAGTCCTCAAGCCTGGAACAAGGCTAAGTAAAATGTCCATACAACTGAAGTTGATCTTAAGATAAACTCTTTAGGGTACTTGGTAATTCTAGGAGGAGGTTGGTTAGAGAGGGACGGGGAGAAAGAACTTGTGAAGAGATAGAGATTGAATACAACTTGAAGTTTGAACTTGTTTATTTAGGCTTATGGTTGTCTAAAAATTATGTGAAAATTACATTTGAAAGGTTGGATCAGAGATCTACCACTTTTGATAAGGAATCCAATCCTTTTGAGTTAAGAATTAAGAGTAACAAAAATGGGAAAAAAAAGTTTAGAATGCAAAAGGAAGAACCCGTAGACATTGCTCTTATGGCTCTCATATCATGTTAGGAATCACGAACCTCCACAATAGTACTGATATTGTCCATTTTGAGTCTAAGCTCCCATGGCTTTTCTTTTGAAAAAAAGATTAGCCAATGTGTATTACTTACTTATAAACTCATGATCCCAACGTGTGACTCGTCTCCTAAAGTGTAGCTTACATATATTGCTATGAACATATTTTATAGTGTTTGATTAAAGCTGTAATATGTTTAATATAGCTAAAATATTGTGCTTATAATAAGTTTTTTTTTTTAACCTATAATACAGTATACAAAGCCAAAACATACCTAATATTAGTTTACTTTTCTAAAAATAGATTCACATTTAATAGCATATTAAAAAAGACATTTTTCTGGAAGTGTTGGAAAGTTGTTGAGCCGTCCACCAATTAGGAAAATGTTTACAAGTGATCTATAAATACAGCTTCTTTATGTCCTCCTTAATTCAAAGCCAAGGCATATATAGGGTGCTTTGGTGTCTCACCCAAATCTCCAAGTGTTTGTGAAGATCAGCTCATCATGGCCGCCCCACTTTTGTTTCTCACCTTCCTGGCTATAACTTGTTGGGTTGCATGGGCATCCGAGCCAAGCCCACTTCAAGATTTCTGCGTTGCAGATCTCAACACTCCTGGTAAGCATTCCAAATATATATATATATATATGCATCTATTTTTGGACGTCAATATTGTTGATGCTTGTTTCATTGTGAGACAGTGAAAGTGAATGGCCTAGTTTGCAAGGATCCCAAGCTTGTGGAAGCCAAAGACTTCTTCTGGAGCGGATTGAATGTGCCAGCCGCCATAAACAACCCGGTGGGATCCCAAGCAACTCCTGTCAGTGTTGCCCAAATCCCAGGGCTCAACACTCTTGGCATCTCCCTCGTCCGCATTGACTTCGCCCCACACGGCATCAACCCTCCCCACATGCACCCTCGTGCCACCGAAATCTTGACAGTCGTCGAAGGCACGCTCCTGGTCGGCTTCGTCACCTCCATCCCGGAAAACCGTCTCATAACCAAGACCTTGAACAAGGGCGATGTGTTCGTGTTTCCTGTCGGTCTCGTTCACTTCCAACAGAATATCGGGAATGGCTCTGCAGTCGCCCTTGCAGCTTTGAGCAGCCAAAACCCAGGTGTTATTCTCATTGCAAATGCAATTTTTGGATCAAACCCGGACATCTCCACCGATATCCTTGCAAAGGCCTTCCAAACCGATCCCGCTATCATCGCCAACATTCAGGCCAAGTTTTAGACAGTGTTAAGGCTTCATTTTGGGGTGTGCTTTGTACTGACTGATCTTCACATATATATATATACACACACACTATTATTTACGTGAGATTTTGAAGTGATGAGCAAGTCATTTCTATACCTTTTAACACAATAAAATTATGATACCATTAACACAATAAAAGGATGAGGTTGTTAGAAAACACTTGTACAACTAAGAGAGGCAATAAACCAACTCACTCATCATTCAACTTGTTACACAATACATATATAGACAAAATAGCCACACTAACCGCTATTAACTACCCTTAACCGCTAGTAACTACCCTTATCCACTAATAACTACCCTTAACCGCTAATTACTTCCCTCAACTGACATAATTTGAAATACAAATAGTAAATAAAATGTATTACGGTTAATACAAGATTAAATAAACTAACAAATCATCCCCTTAATCTTGTATTTCGATCTTCACATTCTTACATTCTTCAAACCACTTCTTTCAGTAAACGTCCTAACCATATTCCTTGACAAGCAGCTAACGTCGCCATAATATACTCTGCTTCACAGGATGAAAGCTGCCGCCATTATCTCCGCCTTCCTTCTTCTTTGTCTTCCTTTCAATGGGCAACTGCTTTTCATCGATAGTTTTAATTACCTGTTCTACTTGTCCAACCAATGACTTTTCCTCAACAGGTTTAATTACCTGTGCTACTTCAATTGCACTGTCGGAAACAATGACCTCCTTCTCCTTCTCCGCTTTCGTTTCTCCGGCGACCTGTTTTTCAATAGCACCGCCATTGTTTCCGTCCTCCTTCTCCTTCTTCTCGCCATCATAGGTGACCTCCTCTTTTATCTCCTTTGCTTTCGCTATCTTCGATGCCACATTCTGGACCTCCGCCACAACACCATCGCTCCTCTCCTCGGATTCAAACTTCACAATGCCAACGATTTTCTCACCATCGCTCTTCTTCTCTTCTCGCTTCTCTATTTTTTTCTCCGATTCAATCTTCACATCTCCACGTCCATTTATCTCTCCAAGTGATCCATCTCCGAACTTCACCGTGCCGGTCACTGACTCGTTCAATTCTGAGAACCAACTTCGACAACCAGTCATGTTATTGCTGGCTCCCGTATCTAGGAACCAAATGTTATTTACCTTCTCAATTTCTTCCGGGACAACCTTCTCTTCATAAAGAGCCATCTCCGTCAACTCTGGTGAACCGAGAGTTCGGACTTCACAAACTTGTGCTGTAAGTAAGGCTGGCTCATCCTCATCACTTTGCGTCTCAGCCAAGTGCGCCTGATCCTCCCATTTCTTCGATCTACAGTCGGATGCATAATGGTCCTCCCTTTTTTTCGATCTACAGTCGGATGCATAATGGCCAATCTTTTGGCAATTATAACACTTCACCTTCCGACATTCTGAGGCATAGTGGCCTAGGTCTTGACAATTGTAGCATCTTACCTTGCTCTTGTCAGCCTTCTTCTCTTGATGAAACCTGTCGTTTCCACGTCCATGACCTCTCCCTCTCCAGTGACCACTGCGACCTCGCCCTCGGCTATGGCCTCCATTGTCGCTATGTTCTTTTGCTTTCCATTCTCCTTGAGTCAATAAGACATGCTCACATTCTTTGCTGCCACCGATCCGTTCCTCATATGCTTTAATACGACCAATGACTTCCTCCATGGTCATCACCTTTAAATCGGCAAATTGCTCTATTGCCGACGCGATATGAAGAAATTTAGGAGGTACTGAGCAGAGGAATTTTTTCACCAAGTATGCTTCTTCAAACTTGTCTCCAAAAGTACGTATTTTATTTACGACTTCTGTCAACCTTGCTGCATAATCATCAATAGTCTCGGACTCCTTCATATTCATAATTTTGAACTCAATCTTCAGAGTTTGGATCTTTGCCTCCTTTACACGTTTAGCACCGACATGGATAGTTTTTAACGTCTGTCATGCTTCTTTTGCTGTCTCTTTCTCTGCTAACAAAAACAACATCTCCTCAGGGATTGCTTGATAGATAGTTGCTAAGGCCATTTGATCCTTCCTTTCATCAAGACTATCCAGAGACTCGGTTGATTCGATTGCATCCCACACCCCTTGAGCACGCAAATAAACCTTCATCTTCATAGCCCATGCTGAGTAGTTGGTTCTCGATAACGTCGGGTATTGGAGTGTTACGAGACCTTCCTTTGTTGCAAACTTCGACGACTCTCCTCTCTTTCCAGTGTTGTTATTATTTCTCGGCATGATCTTTGGCATGTAACCAAGCTCCGATACCAATTGTTAAAAAACACTCGTACAACTAAGAGAGGCAATAAACCAGCTTACTCATCATTCAACTTGTTACACAATACATATATAGACAAAATAGCCACACTAACCGCTATTAACTACCCTTAACAGCTAGTAACTACCCTTAACCGCTAATTACTTCCCTCAACTGACATAATTTGAAATACAAATAGTAAATAAAATGTATTACCGTTAATACAAGATTAAATAAACTAACAGAGTACATTTCTTAACCAAATAAAATTATGATCCCATTTCTCAAATACATGGATACTGATAGTTCACTTTCTAAACCAAGTAAGCTAGCAATGAAGTAAGATGAACAGAAAAAATAGTACACACTAGAACTCATATTATGTGAAAAGCTAGCTAATGAAGTAAGATGAACAGAAAAATTAGTTTTGTGAGCTCAGATTAGGTGAACTATACGTGAACGTGAACTATACGTGAACTCTCATTGAGTTTGTTAAGTGTATTACTTACAAACTGGAAATGGATTAGTGAACCAAGTATTAAACATCATTGGATCAAAAACAATATAATCTTAAAATGATATAGGGATTTCATTAAAATGCTTCAAGGGATAAAAACATCTTGATACCACAAAATTTCTCAAAATAATTGGTTAGAGTGGGAGCCCTTTCGGACTAGAACCTTAATCTAGCACCTTAGACCAACTCGGTCATCTCAACTTTGATTTCCACACAAGTACAATGAGTTAGTTGCCTAGCACATGAGAACCCTCCCAAAATTAAATTTAACTTTATGGTCTTATGCAGTGATTGCTAGCTAACTTTCATAGATAATGTTCAAGATTCGTGATACCATAGTGAACAATGATGAAGTTACACCTCTTATATACATGGATAATTCAATTCCTAAGCAATGTCATTAGCCTGCCAAATAAGATAACATAAAAGCTAATCCACTCTAGAACTCATATAGGCAATTCGCCGAATCGTGGTATGATAGATTAGATAAACTATGCATAAGCTCTCACTTGGTTTGTTACATGGAAAAGAACTACTTATTAACCCGAATTGGATTAGTGATTATGCATGAGAGTCGCATTAGAAACTTTATGATTGTTTGTTAGGACTTAGTTTGATTAAAGTGGGAGGAGGGCCATTATTTCTTAAAAAAAATTTAGGGATCAAAATATTAAATCTCATTGGATAAAAAATAATCTAATCTTAAAATGATATAAGGATTCTAGGAATAAAAATATATGCATACTATACTACGAAATAGTTCATTATAGTTCAATACGAAAAGGTGATCAAATTGCATGAACAAACAAATCTTGGAGCAATCTGATTAGGATGACATTTACTCAAACATTTGTTGTAGCAATTCTTGCAATAAATTTTAATCCCGAGTCTGCTTATGTGGATGACTAATCATTTTTCAACTCTAAATGGGAAGAAATAAACGATATAAAGATGAAAGGTTGCCAAAAAGAAAGGTCCACAAACAAAGGCGTAAGAAAATACAGAATCAGAAAGGGTAAAAGCATAGGTGGCTCCTGTTGCTGAAAACAAAAGAGGAAGAGAAAGAATCACCCTAAGTTAGGGGCGGATGATAGCACAAGGAAAAAGGAAGGATAGCTTAAGACAAGGAGAGAGCCTAAGGAGGGAAATTCCATTAAACTAAAGTAACAAAATAGATAACTCTCTAATCACTTCGTCTCTTTTCTTATTCTATTAATTTTTTATGATTAAGATGTTGAATTCTCTGTGTAAATCAGTGTGCATGGTGAGCTGAATTAGTGTGCATAGTAAGGTACAGAGGAAGTGAGAGAGTTTTATGTAGTTGAAATATGTTGATGGTGTGATTTTGGGTTATTAAAAAGTAGTTATTAGTAATCTACCTGTTTATTTAGTTGACATCTTTACGTATAGTTGTTTCTCTTATTTGAAAGAAGAGACATATAAATCTCCATTGCAAGGATACTTGAAGATAATGGAAGAGTTAGAAATAATTTTTCTTAGAAGGCTTATCAATAGAAATTACAAAAAACTTTAGAAAGTAATCACAATCCATAACTCTTGGGAGAGGCTTTAAAATCTGTTATAAGAAATTAAACTCTTCCAAAACTTTCAACAATTTATATATTTAAGCTCTTTTAGTCTAACCTTCCTCATTAAAATTGATTTTTTTTTGTTCTCTGTGTTGGGATATGAGTTGCCACTCTTCCTATATTTTATTTAAATATTTTGCATTCATCAATATACATTCGAATGAGTCTTAAAGTAATTTAATTTTCAACCACGATAGTGACCAAACAAAAAAATGTTTCTTTGTGAAATCAATAATTTACTTATCACTTGTTAATTCTGATAGTGTATACTTGCACTTATTCTTGTAAATTTTACAACATTTTACTATATACCATCACAAGACAGTTTTAGGTGCATTGATTGGGAAACAACCTAATTTACTTACTTTATTTGCTATCTTTATAGTGAGTTGTCTGCTAACAAAATTGGTGTATGAACCCACCTATGACTTCGAAATTTATTTTTGATCTCGAAATAGAGAGAACTTTCTTGTGAAGTTTAAGGGAGCAAAGGTTGAAAATAGTCGAACATAATATATAACAAGAGTTCTTGCTACCAAACTAAATCCAGAGTTTCAAAATCTAGCAATGATGAATAATAAATGTAGAATCCTTTCTAATACTATTATTTTAGCAAATAACGGGGAAAGAATAATTTTAGCATATTCACACTCTGCTGTGGAAGAGCTAAATTTGTGCATTAATAGAC